GTTGCTGCCTCAGCGAGAAATGGCGAATAATCAATCTGTTAGACGACATCTGGATGCTTTTACCCGAGGTCGAATCATGGGAAGTTGGAGAAAGCAGCAGTGTGACAAGTGTTGCTGCAGAGTTCGGAATTGCCACAGCATCGTTTCACGATTTGGAGACAATTTCAAACTACAGGAACAGCTATCCGAGGGTTTATAGTGGTCGTCACGAGGAACCACACCCGAAGATGACCGGTATATTGCCTACAGGCAGAAGAAACAGGCGGCAGACAGCGGGAGAAAAACGCTAGACACACGACACAGGCGACTGGACGACCGATATCGCGTTTACCGTGGCCAGAAGACTGCACGGTGGTGGTCTGTTTGCACGACGCCCTATACGGTGTGTACCTCTAACGTCTGCCCATCGGAGAAGCGTTCTCTGTGGTGCCGGGAACACCGGAATTGATAGACAATGAATGGGGACGAGTACTCTTTACAGATGGAGCAGATTCAGTCTGAGTAGCGATTCTCATCGCATACTCATCGGAGAGAGCGGGAAGCCGCAATCATCCTTCGAACATCATTGAAATGGACAGGTATGGAGGTGGCGGTGTTTTTGTTTGGGGAGGCATCATGCTTGGTAGTCGTACAGACCTTCACATCTTCGACGCAGGTTCATTCAACGGGACCCGTTATTGTAACGAGATTCTTCTTCCATGTGTGCGTCTTTTTAGAGGTGCTATGGGTCCGCAGTTCCTTTTCATGGACGAGAATGCACCATGTCATCGCACAGTAGCTGCCGAACAGCTCTTAGAGAGTGAGGATATTGAACGTATGGATTGGCCGGCACGATACCCGGATCTCAATCCCATCGAGCATGTAGGGATTTCTAGCAGACGCTTGGGCAGCTCGTACCTTCCACCAGTAACCGTTCCGGGCTTCGATTGGGCGCGGTAAGACGAATGGGCGCAATGCCTCAACAACTCATTGACCCCTTATTCTCAGCATGGGCAGACGCTGTGAAAGCTGCCTAGCAGTCAGGGATCATATCCCCTATTAAGACCGGTGTTTCTTGCTGGACACCATCACAGGATGTTTCGGCCTTCGTGGCATTGCGCTCCATGCTACTTTTTCAATAAAGCTTCTTTTTATCCCTCTGATTTCTCTTTTAGTAAGTGTTGCTTACATTACTCATGTTCTTACGTATTGGGGATCTTACGGTATTAAATGTGTTGATTTGGAAAGCTTTTGTACTATATTGAAAAAACCGTCTCGTCCTTAATTTTTGCACACCAGTGTAATTTGTCACAATAACTAATAAATTAAGCGCAGGCATTTTTAAAGTAATAGCTTCTCTACTGAATGCGAGATGAGAACATTACGATGTGGAAACGTAGACTATACTTTTAGAACATTTATCGATATTACATCAAATGAAAATTACAGTTTTTCAAGGTTTGGATAGCTTACATTCTTGACTGAACCAGAAGACTTGCATAACTTAAGAATGGTTAATATTTATCAAAGGAATAAATACCTAAAAGTACCGTTTAAGAAATTAAGAAAAATTCTTCATTGTCACTAATACTTGGAAATGCTAAAAATTTTATCTCTGAATTGAAGAACACTATATAATTTATAATCAAATCAGTTGTTGAAATTTCAATTTATGCTTTATTTCTATATTAGCTGTAAGGATGATTGTAAGGTATTTAGTTTTAAGTAGGGGAGAACGTAAGATATTTTCTACTTCCTTACCTCGCGCCTTAGTGGTGTAACTGGAAGCATGTCCGTGTCCAGCTAACATCGGAAAGTCCGGAGTTCAAATACCAGCAAGAGCATTGCACATTTTTCATGTTTCCGTCTTCGGCAAACCTAATAACTGTACAGAATTAGTTATAAAACAGACAGGAAACATAATAGATCTGAAAAAATTCAGTTCATGTATTGTTTAACAGAAGTCAGTTTTGCATTCGACTGTTATTACATAACATTTAAAAATACAATAAAATATATTTATAAATTTCCAGCTGGAATTGATTAGCTCCAGTTTTCATTAGAAAGTCTTAGGCATCCTTGCAGCCTACCAGCGGCTGAGCGTTAAAGTTCTTGAACACTGGTAGTTCGGTCCGGGGTTCGAATCCCGGCGAAAGGGCTGGCTGCAGGGGGCGTTTTCGTGTTTTTTCCCTAATGGTCACGTGTATACGAGCCAGTTTCCCTTAGAAAGTCCTCCACGAAGGCATCCCTTCCCTTAGGCAGATAACCCCCGTTTGCTTTGTCGTAAATAAATAAACCAAACCATGCATCACTCCACTTAGCAAGTAACTCTCGAGTGTTTTACCAAAATAAAGTAAATCCTTGCTACCTAAAACATAGTCAATGCATTAATTACTAAGCGTAATTTCTTCAGACTAACGAAAATATGATAATAAAATTCAAGTTCTGATAGAACGAGAACTCATTTTTTCCCTGAAAGGAACTGTTGCATTCCCTTATATGTAATCTTATGGTGCAAGTGGTTAGAACCCGTCTGAATTTAGATAGCGTAACTGATTTTTCTTCTGTGAAAATCTAATGGTACTTGCAACTTAACTATGTAGCAATATGGCTAACGTTTTAGTTTCCTCCTGTCCTCAATTCGGAAAATGCCTGAACTGAATCTTCTGACTGGCCAACCCCCTCCTTTCCGAACAAACAGAAGCAAATGTTTAACCATTCGTTTATTTAAAAAATGCAATAAAATGTTTTGTTTAGAAATAAAACAAACTAAAAAACATGGAAAGCACTAAAAACATTGTCATGATAAAAATATCTTCATACAACGCAGTAACTGAAAACTGCGAAGAGTAAGCTATATATATATATGGGAAAAAATAAAAATATCTGACTTAAATTAAGTAAAGTGATAGGCGTAGCTATAATCAGACTTAAAATAGACTAAAATGTAGCTCCATTTTCTTGTAAACGGAAGTGAGAAATATTGACCACCTTATAAGGTTTTATTATTAATTAACCCATTGATTTATTATTTTAAAGCCTGAGAAAAGACTTCAGATTTTGCTTTGCTAATTTCCAGCGTTACTTACTTTACCTTTTACTTGAACCATTTTATGTTGGGACAAATCTCGAAAGCAACGATTTTGATTTAGAAAATCGTGAGCTGGGCATTTGTTAAGTTTAAAGTTGTAATGCAAAAATTTATTTACTCTGCATTTGAATCGTAATTAGACGGGGCGATAAAACGCCTCTGACAGTGTTTAAGGTAACATAATTTAGTTCAGTAACTCTTGGGTTTCTGCACAAACTTTCATTGATGACTTCTGTATTGCTGAATGTTAATGGATAAATCTGATATTGTAAGCACTTTGTGCACTTCAAGCCAAATAAGCAGCATTAACTTCAAAAATTAGTAAATAGATAGCATTACACCAGCTTTCTGTTTTAATGTTGTTTGACAACAAGAATAAGATGACGCTGGAGTATATAGAGATATAGGCAAGAAATGTGAATAAAGCAGTTGCTAGAACATGTGCATTAAAGTTTTTGCCATTATTGTTGTAACGAATGTTGAGATCTGAATGCATTTGAAACTTAATTTCTTTTCATGCTGTTATAACATAAACTTTACAAAACTTTAACACCTATAAGTAAACATCGATCGATTTGACCGACGGGTATTTTTATGTTCTGATTTTGGCAACACTGTTGAGCAAAGGAACTGAGGGAGTTTGTGAACTTTACATTACACCAGTGTATAATATGTCAATGTTTGGTAATAATCAGTCATGTTTAACAATCTTTGTTTGTTAATTTAAATGTTCTTTAAATTTTTATTGCCTTACGATGTTTTTTAAATGAACACATGTGTACCTTTTGCCAAAAATCAATTTTTATGTTCCATGCATCTTGAATATACAAAAACTTGACAGAAGAAATAAATAGGGTACGATTATTATTTATTAATCAAATGTTCCACTCATGCAATGAAATAATAATAATAATAATCGAGAGGCCCGCAGGACATTGCTGACATACCTGTCCTGCACAGTATGTCCAGAAACACAATTAAAATAAATAAATAAAATCATAGCCATTTGTCCTACTCTCCGTTACTTGCGACAAGTTAATAACGTATATACAGTTAAGTAGCCCTATCATTATTCCCAAGGATGAAGTTGCACTCGGGCTTTGGGGAACACCTGGTTCTTCTGGCTCAGTCGCTGAGGACGTATTTAATCGTTCCAAAACGAAAATAAAAATATAAAACATTTTTTATCTTTAAAACTTTTGCGACTTATTTACATTTAGCTTACCTGCCAACACCCGTCTGGGCGTTTCTAATTCATTTCTTCAGACTTATTGTGCAGCGCAGTGAGTGGAAAAGTATCACTAACAGGATAAGGATAGCTCTCCCTTTCTCTCTCTATGTTTATCTTTCGATACAATACAATGATAGCGGAAGTAAAATGACGCGATTCACTTTTTTGTTCATTCTATCTCCTGGGAGATTCTTGCATAATAGATTTTTTAAAAACGCATAAGACGATTATTTAGGTCACAGAAGAATTACTTTTCACTCTTTAAATTTTCCGAAATAAAAAAAGACGCGGTCTAATGAAAGGCAGAGAAGTCATCAACCCTTTTTTTTTTTTTCCCTAACCGCAATCTTTCGGGGTTCCTTTTCTTGTATAATGTAACACGGTATTTTCTTAGTGTATCTAGGTTGGTTTATCTTAGGCATTAAATCGGTTGTTGGTTTCCTCAACTGTTGAGTTCCTTTCTACATAATAGCCAGGTCAATAGGTCTCAGAAATTAATCTGACCTACTGTTATGTTCAACGCAGTACCAAAGATAAAACTTTTTTACACCACAAAAGCAAACCTTAATTGTCACCATCAATCACAGGCCATATGGTCTTGCGGTGGTTTTATTATATGTTTTCTATGTGCATGCTTGTTTTAAAGAAAACATAATAATAAATGAAATTCTAATTGTTTTCTTTCCTTGTTTTGCATAGATGATTATCTGAAGAAAATCATGAAAATTAATCCTACAAGAGGAGAAAGGTAATGTCTTATCGTTCTTATTACATTTTGCATAACTAACATTAATATTTATGATTCAGCATTCAAATAACTGTTAAGCAATTCTGAAATGAAAAGTAATTGTAAACAAACCTTAGAAGCTAATTTTCTAAAACAATTTTCCTTACCTAGATATTTTTTCTTCACAAAACATGCAAATGATCTGTAATGATCAGCTTTCTGTTTTATAGCGTGATTTTATAATTTAAGCTTCATTTCTTTTATTTTAGTGTATTTTAGCAATAACATAGTTTAATACTCTTTGAAGTGTAGAATTAGAATAGGAAACGGTTTTTAATTTCTTCCTGGGTAAGCAACCATTGCACTTCGTGGGATTATTTTCTTGCATATGTAATGTCTGAAATTAAATACTGTGTATTAAAGATTTTTCATTTGCGCAATTATCTACTTCTTCGTAATTTTAATTAAAGTAAAATTTTACTGACATTTTCTAATTTTCATGAAAAATAAGATGGAAATTAAAGTTAACTTCATGCAATTCCAGTTGAAGAAAAATGCAAGTATTTATATATTAATTCCAGTCTTAAAAATGATAAATTATTATGAAGTTGTATATTTTAGAAACAGTTATGTCCTGTATGAAACATTAAGCGTAGAGTCCAAAATAATCTCTTTGAGAAATTAGTTTTCCAGATGTTTATGAAAAGAAGGAAAAAAACCCATTTTTAACAACCGTTTTGTAAGTTAACATAATTACTTGTACTAATTGTCTAAAGCAAACAATATTTTACTTTCGAATTGTTTAGTATTCATGTTAGGATATCCATAAGATAAACAAAGAGTAATGAAATACAATAAAAACTGATAAGAAGAACATATAATACTATGAATCAATGATATAATGAATATTCTGTGAAAAGTTACAATCTTTCCTTCTTTAAATAGCGATTATAGATAAGTTATCTATTTAATCATAAAATTCCACAAAAATTTCTAGAGGATTTTATGCGATAGTTTCAGGACAATGGGTGGCAAGACTGTATTAGTGTAACTTCTTACTGATTTATTGATTTATTTATTAATTACTACTAATAAATATTTGTCCTGTTGTCCGTTGCGCAAATTTCTAAAAAGTAGAGATAAAACAAGATTTATTATGCTATAATGAGTCAGAGTATCTATAAATTTACGAATAAAATTTGTAGTGATTTTGAAGAAAGCAAGATCAATTTTCCTTGGATACGACTTAGAAAATTTAATGTTTACTAAGAAAATTTATGAAGGTATTTAAAAAGCAAATGTTATTTATATTCGCAACAAATGTTTTGTTTCTGAAATAGAGCCAAACAGCATTTATTACATAAATTACCACTATCGTCGGAAATTTTAATAAGCTTACTTATGTGAACTCGTATAAACACATAAGAAACATTTTATATATAAGGTATTAATGAATAATGAACATTTTATTAATTGGAGTTTTTGCTCAGAGGGGATGCAGTAAAATGCTAGATTCTATTTCTACAGCATCGCATCATAAATTAATGAAATTATTTTCACAAAATCATCTACCTTATTTTTAAAACTGTAAACTTAAAGAAGTTCATATCTAAAACCAATACTTAAAAGAAATAAAATCTGTAATCTTCTTTTCTGGACGCCCTATATATTTGACATTTACTTCGCTTGACGTAAGTGTAAACATTTAGATGAAAGGCAAAATTAAGCTTTCATAACGTAGATGTAGATATTTTTATGAATATCAGACAGCTGCAAGGCAGAGCAACCATTATCAGTCTTCTGTAAGATAAAAATGTCAGTGTGGCTGTCAGTGTTATTTGAGTCCGAGTATTTAAAATTTTTAGCAAGAAAATTAATTTATATTTTATTATCAATAGTTAAAATTACATACCTTGATTTATATTTGAATTTATAGAAAAATTTATCACATAAACTGCTAGGACGCCGACCTCGTTACACTTTTCTCCAGTTCTATCCAAAAAATCATACAACACAACTGAATTAAATGCAAAACCTCCTGCTAGGAATAAGCTTATATACGTATTTCTTCTAAAAATGATCGAAATAAAAATATTATAATTCTGTTACCTACGAATAAAAGCACTATATATCTTGTAGAGTCAATAGGCTATTTTGAGGGAGCAGATGTGAAAAAAGGGCAGTGCCCACGCGGCGACTCGAACCTCGGACCTCTCGAAAACGTGCCGAGCGTACTGACCTTTACACCATGAAGGCATGCTAAGAAGGCGGGAGAAATACCTTATATACTCCCCCCTTTTGAAGAGCGACTGGGGATTAAGGGACTCAATCGCCAAATCCTGGTGAATCATAATTCACCACTTTTTTTTTTTTTTTTAGTTCGGGTGCCACCGTAGAGCCTTTATGCAGTTTTGAAGCAGGAGACAGGAAAAAAAAATGAGCAGTGCCCTCGCCGGGATTCGAATCTCGGACCTCTCGAATACGTGCCGAGTGTGCTGTCCATTACGCCAAGAAGGCATGCTAAGAGGGCGGGAGAAACACCTTATAATCTAAGCATTCCCTACACATATTTCCACAGGACGCGAATAGTGTACCACAAATCTTAAAAGTGATACATAGCTACAAATTGAGTTAGAAATTTACACATGATATCAGACTATTATATAAAATGGAATCATGAAAGAAATCACTTAAATTTTCAACCGTTAATAGAAATATAAAATTTATGTTTATGAAGATAGCATTCGATTCAATGATTAGATCTAAATTAATTGCAGTTTCATGAAGATTTCACATATTTCATACGTTAAACAGAATTGACATCTGACAAAGGTTTTTCCGTTTTATCAGCACGGATAGACAGAAAAACAAACAATGCTTGTAATAATCTGTACGTTCACGTAACAGATAGTTTCTTCGTGGGTTTTTCTTTAAAGGCGAAATCACTCTTAAATGCTTTGTGTAAAACCTTAGTTAAAAGATAAATGTTTAGAGATAGGTTAAAAAAATCTGAAAGGTTTCAGATTTGAACGGTCAAACAAAAGGTTTTGTTAACATTTTTTAAGCTCTCACTGCGCTCGCTGTCTATCAATCTGCTGTTACACTTACTTCTAAGAAGCTATTATTGTTTCTGTGTTTTTAGATTTATTATTAAGCATCATTTTCTTTGCATTTACGCAACATACAATTCAACAGTAAAAACTACAAAAACGTTAAAAGCAGCATAGCAGTATATGTTTAGAATTCTTGATGCAGTGTGAAGTGTTGGCTTACATTTTTCTGTTTTTTCAGTCTTTTCCAAGTTTATCATATCAAGGTTCAGGTTTCTTACTAAGATGACTTAGCAAAACATTTTTTGTCTTTTTATTATGAACTTTTTATTATGAACGTAGAGCCTTTATGCAATTTTGAAGCAGGAGACAGGAAAAAAAAATGAGCAGTGCCCTCGCCGGGATTCGAACCTCGGACCTCTCGAATACGTGCCGAGTGTGCTGTCCATTACGCCAAGAAGGCATGCTAAGAGGGCGGGAGAAACACCTTATAATCTAAGCATTCCCTACACATATTTCCACAGGACGCGAATAGTGTACCACAAATCTTAAAAGTGATACATAGCTACAAATTGTCTGTTTACTTTATTTATTAAATATCACATTCTTGGGGCTTACGTGATATAAATTTGAATCAACACCAAATACTTAAAAGCAGCATATCTTTAAAACTTCCGGTAGGCAGTTTTGCGCGCTGGAAATAAAAAATGTTTTCTTTTTTCATATAGTGCTGCCCTTGCTCGCTTTGAAATCGTTGAGTTTGTTAAAAATTCGTTAAAATATTACAAAATTTGAAGGAGATAATAAAATAAATTCTAAATTCAAAATTCGGACTTTCGGGTACCCATGTGCTGGTGGAGGACTACATTATTCAATACTGGGTGGCTCTAGCTACCGTCATTTTTTCACTGTACGAGAAACACGTATACATTCTTGCAGATACTTCATTATACAATTTCATTAAATATAATACGGGGCGATAATATTTGTTGCCAACAATCTGAAAAGTGATACGTCGTTTATAGTGATTCAACGCAAAATGTTGTTTCGAGACTAATTATCCCAATCGGGACTAACGTCCCTTTTGGGCTAAGATCATTTTGCACCTAAGAATGACATTTAAGTAAATAACTAACGAGTGTGCCGTGAAATCTTGTAAATTATATATTGCATTACCGTGGAAAAGAATAAGGAAAAAGAATATATGAAAGAAATAGCTCTATTCAAAATTTTAATTTAATGTAATGCGTAATATTAATGCGTAAATAAGACAGGGAATTTGGTAAGTAGAAGAGATGGTAATAGCTTTTCAGCTTTTTTGAATATTTATGGCATGAAATCCGGCAGTAATAAATTTTGAAATGTATTGACTACTTTTATATTTCGATAGTAATTTTGATATTTCAAAGCGCAAGTGATTTTACGGTAAAAATAATTCTAAGTAACGCGTTAAATTTCCAGTAGAAACCTAAACATTTCAAAGTATGCAATTCAATAAACAGAATTTTGAAGTTTAAAAAATATCTTCTCTAATATCGCCCAGACGTCGGACACACATCAATTCCTTGTACGCCTATTAAATTAAATATATTTTTTCCTGTACTTCATTCAAATTTATTTCACTTGTAAGTGAGTGATTCAAAATTCAAAATTCTTCCAATTCAAAGGACCCTTTTGACACTACCGATTGCAATAAAAAAAGGTGTACAACTAGCAGTTACAGCAGTGTCATATAAAAAAATTTCAACATTCTATGGCTAATCGTTTTTGAGTTAAACGTGATACGTGCCTACGTACAAACGTCATGCCAAAACTAGTCAAAAGTCTCAAATACAAAATTCTAATATTCTACAGGTAATCGTTTCGGAGTTATGCGAGATACACAACATTCTGTAGCTAATCGTTTTTGAGTTAAACGTGATACGTGCCTACGTACAAACGTCATGCCAAAACGAGTCAAACGTCCCAAAT